TGCGATGGAGGTGAACTGATGGGAACAATCGGGTGGATGCAACAGGCACCACTAAAACGAACTACAAACACAATAGGCTTTCGTTAAATCTTTCAGAGAAGAGGCATTACTTAAAGCCTTGCATAGTAAACTGGGATTTCAACTAGAGACAACAGGAGTGTTTTATCCGATGGGCTGCCCACTCACTTTGATGCTAATACTTGGGCGCAATACACAGTTAGTATTGTTGGGCAGACCGAAGTAAAGAGGATTATGGTAAACTCCCCGAAAGGTCATATTTTGTTAGAATTCCGCTACAGTTGGAGCAGCTAAAGCATTGTGAATCCATCAAAATCGTTGTTTAACAGGTGCAAAAATTGTAACTCTAGTTTGTATTAGAACCACCCAAGTTTTACTTCTGTTTTTTGGCCGCCCGTAACCGGTTCGTTGAGATCGATGCGAAAAATTGCTTGAATCATTTTCTGTATAACACTAGTACCTAGATTTCCAAATGCCTATCAAATATTCGCACAAAACCATTTCGAAACGTCCACCTGACCTGGGCCGGATTGCGCCTATCCTAGTCCGCTCTGCAACGTGAAGCCTAAAACAAAATAAGTCCCCATCGTTTTATTATAAAACGTCCCCAACTATCTTGATCGCTTTGCCTCAAACGAAATGTTGTTTTTAGGATATCTGGCCGAAATATAGTTTAAAATCTTTTCGAGATTAATTCATTGAAACACATCACACAAACCACAGATTAATTTACACATACAAATTGGAAGGCTATGATCACTCCCCCGGGGAATCAAAGTGCACAAGATCCAGCTGTATACCATTCACCGTTTGCACATATTTTTCTCTGATCGTTCTGGTTTCTGGGTATTTTCGTCGCAACATCCGATCCGATCGCTGTTCTGACTTTATACATGTACTTCATTACAACACTTGTCTATGATTCTTTCCTCTTTGATCAGTGCAAGTTATGCATTGACACCTTCCTATGATTTTCATGAAGCATCACACGCGCCCAGACATGATAATGCATTGGATAATAAAGCGGCTCGGATTTCGGACAATTTCACTTTCCGCATTGCGTAATAAGTCAGCTTGAATTAGGAAATACAGGCATACACACGTACAGCATCTGTAAAGTTTTCAACCCATCACGTTTTATACTAAATTCTTCTTGTTACCAAATTAACTCGCTCTGTCGATTCAGGAAAATTTGGTTGGTGTAACTTGGAAATTCATTCCCACATTCGATTCCTTTCCAAGCTTTGCCGCAGAACATAGTCACCATCTGAGCAGATAGCGTCCATATTCATTGAGTAGCCAAGGTAGGTCAACATAATTCAGACACAAATGGTGTCTTACACCGTTGAGTGGTGAAATCCGTGAAAAACGTTTTTCAGATCAACCATCATATGAAACAGCTTCAACGGATTTGTGTGATGTTTAATATTTGTTAGACAACAGTGAGAGAAAACTTCGCTTTTCACTTATTAGAAAATCACCTTGACCATGCTTGAAAGTTGGCAATCATTGAGTTCACTTGCCCTGTGTGATCATCATAAAATCTTGCACGAAAGATTGCGTGTGCTGAAAACCCACTTTATGAGGTGCATAAAGCCTAACTTAATTTGACTAAGACGGTGAATCGCTTTTGGTTGGTGCCAAGTGAAGTATTCGATTGAGAGCTGAAAATGTGCCTAAATTGCCCTAAAAGTTAAAGTCATTGTAGAAATAAATCACAGTGATAGCTCTAATATCTCTGTTCATGGGTCAGTGTTAGGTTCACTTCTGTTTCTACTGTGAAAACTGTAATAAGGTGGTTCGATAAGCGAGATCTACTTCACAATCTATCCAAATCCTCACCGCAGGGATTGAACTGGTTTATCAGAATGAAGATGATTTCAGAAGAAAGAAGTGAAAGAATGTGTGAGTCGTCGTATCTGGTACCCTCAAACCATCATATTTAGGATAAAGGGCAATCAACATGACTTAAAGAGAACTCTTTTTATGACACATCACCATAACGAGTATGAGAATCGATGTTCTCGTTTCTTGGTGCTCACGTTAGGAATTGCATTGAACGTCTTGAAAGAGTATCACGCTTGGCTATCCCAGTGATCACGGGCCGCAGGCACGAGTTAGCCACAGACACTGAAGGATCTATGTATTTTATTCTTGCAATGAAAGAAACTAAAGAGGGACCTCTTAGAAATCTTCGTGGTAGTTATTGGTCAATCTGGGATAACATCCAAGGACCTCTTCCAATTCATTCATTTAAAGGGGACTAGGGGAAAAATCGGATTTTGCATCGTAGCCATCTAAGGTGTAGGATGTTTTACGATTTTACAAGTCGCGCAATACCTAACTTGAAAACCCTCCCCGAAGAATTTGTAGGAAACGCCAATACCCATCTCTTTAAGAGGATCTTCAATGATTGCTGGGCTCCTCTATCCGTTGGGAGGAGGTATATATCTGTTCTTCATGAACAAAATGAATTAGAACGTGTTACGTGTTACGCATTTTTCTTTTCTGAACAAACCCATTGACTTGCAATAGTGGAAGACACATGACCAGCCGAAAAACAACCATCCGGAAGCACGACTGGTCCAATCCATCCATATCTCTTGCCTAGGTTGAACTGTACTGAACTGAAAAATAACACATCTTCTGAGGGCTTTAACTTTATCGCAAACATAATTGATAAAGGAATTAACGTTTGCTTTGATGTTAGTCTGTGAACGCACTAGTTCAAAAAATCACATTCCACATCACCAGGCTATCTATGGTTGCTCAATCTAAGATGCTGTTCTATTTGTAGTTACAACTAAATTTTACCGTTTTAAGGTCGATGAACGTGAAGATTTCAGGTATTCTGGGATAATAAAAAGTAACTTAAAATAGTTGATATAAAAGAATTTCTGAAGCGCGTATACGTACGTGATTTTTGGCTTGTTCCTGTTTTTTTTTGCTGCAAAAATCCCATCGGCTCATAAGATAATATCCGGTGCCAACTGCATCTTCCCGGATCATACAGCATACAACTATGGCATAAATGCTTGCAATATTAGTGAATTCTCGTTTTGAAAAGCTAGAAACCGGCGAATAAGTTTTGTAGCTGTCGCGGAGTAATCAATTTATCTCTAGGCTACTAACTAAACTCATTGTAAATCTATAGTTGTATAGTTCACCGATATGTTGTCCTCGATGTCACCAACTGTGTGTAATTCAGTTAACTGAAATACATTCTGAATGCATTCTTAAGTATGAACCTCGAGGCCAGTTGCTTTGTTCCATCCATCAGAACTTGAATACAGGTAAGGATTCGGAAACCGGACAAACAAATTCCATAGACAACTAGGTCAGTTCGAGTTGGGAGTGTTTAGTTCGTGATCACGGGGGGAAATGCGGAAAAGATAACGAGGAAAACAATGTCAGCTTGTTGGCACAACATATCATTCGAAATTCGGCCAATACATTCGAAGAGCTTTTAATAGTTCGCTTTTAATGAGCGGTCACTAATCAGACCGAGAATAAACAGTTTAACTTACCGAATACATAATCTCAGTCCAACCTTCCATAGTTATGCATTGGAAGACGGTGAGCATTGCGTATCCAATATTGTCAAAACTGGTGATCCCATAGTTTGGTCCTTCCCAATAACCTTTGCAGATATAGTCCGTCGGACAGACAAACGCGCCGTGTGGAATACCACCAGTGTTGGTGGATGTCCCGTTTGGAAGACTACATGGTACCAAATTTGGACGATTGGGCAGTGAGGTGGGCAGTGTGTCTGGGTTATCTACATGGGGAATTGATGATGAGATAGAAGGATCAGAGAGAAATCGAACTACGTCATGGGATTCAAGTGGAATGAGTATAACCTTTAGCTGCTAGAACAGTTAATAAACTCGAGATTAGATAGGTGATATCACGAACTCGTTCCATGACATAAATTTCAAAGTTCAAGAATTATGTAAACCTGTGGCAGATCATAGGAAAATAATCCACTGATACTCGCATCACCAACAGTACCTAACCCCGTTTATTTGTTTTTCTTTCGTATTCCAGCAATTATCGCTGAAACTTGCTATGCAATAACCACACCAGCCAGTAACTTCTGTCGCGGCACGTGGAGTAACACATCACCAAAGGTTATTCCAAGGCTGTGCGCCCTAATAGTCAACACGAAGGTAGAGTTTGATAGCATGAAGACAACCGGTGGGAGGAGAGGGAGCAGCGCATATCGGTTTGAACTCTCTAGGCATCAGTGACAGCTGATTTATCAAACCACAATAGTTGAAGTGACGTCTTTGTCCCGTTTTATGTGCAGTCTGTCTGTGAACGCAGGCAGCCCAGCCATCCTGAGCCCGTTCACTCTTCCCGCGAGAAGAGAAGCTCTTGCATCTTATTGAAGGTTGATTGCTCGCATTACTATCATCACGCATGTGTAGTATGTATTCAACGGGATTTTGAATATGGTTAATAATTGTACAGAAGAAACTAAAGGGGCTTCTATTGATAATATTTTGATTTGAGGGCATTGCTACCATGCCATGAATGACCAAAACCTATTTCATCTTTATTGGAACTTGTTAAAAATGCGTGTCGTTTGACGGCCGTTGTATCCCAAACTGTTTATCGAACTGTTTCCACCCAAACTGTCGCGATTGAATAAATTTCAAGCACTGAAATTACCACTCGAACGCCCCACCCTTAATAATAGCCAGTTTTCTGACAGACAAATATATTGTTTGATTGTGAAGTAGCGTGAGCCGTTCGCTCAACGTGCGGGCCAAGTATCTTCCCTACCGATCAAAACTTTCAAGGGTGCCATTTCTAAGTAAGATAAAAGCAATAGCTGAAAAATCAACCTCGATGCTTCATTTCTGACGATTCCTGCTGAGAAGAGTAAACATTACTTGTGAACTAATTGACAAACTTTTCCGCTTACAGGGAACAATCACTGGAACATAAACCATGCTGTGAATGAAAAGTCTCATTCAACATGAGGATTCGACCGTATAATAAATGTTCCCCAGTAATTGACGCTCGCAAACAGGACTCCAATCCATTGTCAATTGTTTCCCCTGTACGGCAATCCCAATTGTTGGAAAAACAAATTGACTCTAGTATTCAGCTTTCTGTCTTGAAACTTCCCATAATTATGCGAACATACGGTGTACACTGCCGGTTTTGAGGTCAGTGATTTAGACAAGACAGCGATATCATTATAGGCAACCAACTGGATCGTGTTTCCGGTCGATTTATTTAAAATAGTAAAATCAATGTCAGTAGGACTGGTTAGCATAGCACTATACCGTGGAAATGTGGACGGTGCTTTATTAAATACCCGAAGCTCCAAAGAAAAGTAAGATTAGTCGTAGTCGGGTCATTTTGCAGCAGCATAACCCTAAACGTGAAGTTCAACTTCTAACCACTACTCCCTCTGTCAGTCAAATAACATATAATCCAAGGAGTTCGACGGGGATGCAGCATCTTGTACGTGGATAGATCAAATAGACACCTGCAAACCCCATTGTCAGAACACAAACCAGCATAGATCGAACACGAATTGATGAGGTTGAGGATCACACAAACGACCAGTTCGTTGAGCAATTTTCACAGAACAACTGCCTCTTCAATCATCCGTCATATGATTCAGGCTCACTAGTAAATCGAGCGCGGAATATAGTTCTGGATGACCGGCTGGTAACTTTTGCAGAGCGCCAAAAGCCCCCGATATGTCAGAAGAAGGAAGACCGAATCGGCTGAGAATTATCATGGAAGTCACGTCAGCCGAAGTGTGAATTGGTACTATGTTGGATCATTATCACTTGTGATATATAAGCTATTTTGATGTTTGGATTAAGCACCAGCTGAGATGCAGCAGAATGATTACGGAATGATATCTTCCTCGATCTTAGTGCCGTTTATTTTACTTAAATTTGGGTAATACTATTCCCTCAGAAAATAAATGTATCATCACGCTTCTGTATCAGAAAGAAACAGCATGGTAATTCTTACCATAACGATGTTAACTTGCTTAAGGCTTACCACAGAACCCCACGGGCTAATAGAGTTACCCACATGTTTTACTATTAAAGAAACCTTGCGAGTTAGCCCTGATCGTCACAAGCTACAAGTAATTGATATCTTTTTCATGTCGACCGAACGAGCGGTTTACGTGTGTTATAACAGTTAAAACTGTATTGGCAATAAGTAGACTTACACACAGAAAAACAGGTCATGTGAAATCCACCGGAGTAGAATTCCAGCCCAATAATAGCGAATATGGTGATCGCAAACAGGACAAGCAAGCTGATTTGCAGCAAGGGGGCCATGGCTCGGATGATCGATTTCAGCACAATCTGAAGACCTGAGATAGGAAATCAGCAGAACACTTGTAGATGAGAAAACAAACACAAATGAAGAATGAGGGTATTCATTTGAACAACCATTACATTGCATTCTTGAACATTCACTTTCGAGTAGTTTGGTCAGGTCAAAGTTTCGGTTAGGATGAAACCAGCTAACGTGATTTGTACAGTCATAGCTAAACCCATTTCAGCAAAGGGGATATTTTTACGCTTCACGAAGAAGGCGGTGGCAAAATCCATGTACTGATTGCTCAATCAGTAGTGGGCAATAACTGACACAGTCATCGTTGCTAGTTTGAGTCCAGATCACGAAGTGACCTTCGTCTATGGTAACAGAAATAAATGAACATGATATAGTGATTATCTTGTTCCATCAAGATCAGTTTCACTTTCCCAAAAAATAACAGATTATTAGGGAGCAGCTAATAGCCCTTCGGGTAACGGATTTCTGATATCAGAAAAACGCCTGGGGTCATTCAAAATGTCCCTTCGCTAAATGAATTATCAACAACACCCAGTGCACTTGCGAGGGTGCCTCATTTGNTTGTCCTACACGCATATGAACAGAAAAAGATTCAAGTAATCCACGGTTCGTCATTTGGAGATAAATGTGACACGGGTACGTATTACCATAAGACCGATCGATTGGAAATGGTGTGATTCAGAGATTGTGCGCGATAGGATTTCGCAAAGAATATCCATCACCTTCCTTCTCCTCCCTCGCACAACGTTTCTGCTCTTCCTATCCTATCTAATCAAACTATCTCAGATGGTCAATCATTTGCTCATTCTGNATTCTGTTATATTTATATGTTCATGATTGAATAAGTTTGAAATCATTGAATTGAAAACACTTTTGTCGATATTTCTCGCTCGCATTTTTGACTTTGCTTCCAATTTCCAAACAAATTCATTTTCTACGCTAGTGAGTAAAGGGTATCAGAGAAAAATGCTCATCACAACTGCCCTCTTCGAGTTACATGTGTAATCAAATAGAACTACGTCAATTCATTTTGCTAAAAAATTACATCTAAAACCTAACCATCGAGAGAACGAAGGCGAAAACCAATAATTATGGTGGAAAAATAATTGTAGATTAGTATATCAATAACTATGTATAGAACCAACCCGATTTAATTTGCTGTATAACTGTTTGGTTGGTGCCCCGTCGCAATGCGGGTGGTCAAAAAATGTGGGCGTAGAGAGTCAATGGTAAATAACGGAGGACTTAACCCAGACCACGTTACAAGTTAAGGAAAATATTCGATGCGTTAATGGGTGCGGAGTGTAATCAGGTACTAGTAACCCAAGTTTCTGTGGTTTTCACAAAGGAAGGCTCACAAAATTATTTAGCTATTCTGCTTGTATTACTTCGAATGGTTTGACACAAATATTTTCCGAGAATCATGATAGAAGGAACATTATTAATTAGGATTAAATATTTTGAGCATCCGATTGGAATAAGTTTAGAATTTGATGAAATTAAATAATATGTAGAAAGAAAAACAAATACTAAAAATAGTGTTTATTTTTGTTATATTTCCAGTTTGCCAAATATAAAGTCCTTAATTTTCAAGATAAGGGACGGAGTTAATTACGATCTACCCGGGCGCAATACAGAAAAGAACAAGGAAGGCGATTGGGGCATGCTGAGATCTGAACTTATCACCTTCGATTATGACCCTAACTGCTCAACCATTGTCATCCCGGATGATTTGCATGGGTTTTGAACCACGCAGCACACAAGTGAGTCAAGCAGTCACGAAGAAGCTTAGATGAAAATTTCGCCATTACCACCCATGTATATTTTATTGGCAGTTTACTTTGCATATAAAGGAAAAACTTTTGTCTTCCCAAAACAATTTCATTTCTAACTAGTGATAGATATACATATGGATCATTGAAAAAGACCATGTTTGTCAACCTGTTGTTTTGCTTAAAGTGTATGCGACTGATACGAAGAAGAAGTTTGAAGTGGAATACTTCGAGATGAGTGATTTCTCTTCCGCGGGTAGCAGACCCACATCTGAAGTCAGCTAGGCCTATTTGATGAGTTTCAAAGTTAACAATGAGTCACTTGAAAATCGTTGAAGGTGTTTTGGGGAAGATAAGTCCGCCAAAGCTAAGCAGTTTGACGTAACACGGACAGCTTCAAATCAGAAGCCACCGACTTAATGTATTCAAGGATTTAATGCTTGGGTTGAGTGCATATGTGTCGACAAACCAAGAAGATCACAGATAATATTTTTATTGATTCTATTCACAATATGTTCTACAACGTTCATCCGAAACCTGTTTAGACAATATCGCCCTTCTATTTCTCGTACTGGTTATATGTATTTACGATGAGCCTGAGAATCTGGTTATTTATTCACAAACAGAAAACTTAGCAGAACAGTATCGGTCAAAAAACACAAAGGACAATGAAAGGTGTAGAAATAAAGTACGTGGGCCTTACGGTCAAGGGTGTAGTTGAGAGGGGTAAATGAGCTACAATAAGTCCTGTTTACTTCAGCTGTTTGAAACAAAAGTTCTAGGTCACTCGAAGCTACCTAGTAGAGGAAAGTTGATCAATCGATTATAATATGGGTAAGTGAGAACAGAATAAAAATAATATTTAAATGAATAAATCAACACTGTTTGAGGAATTCCAAGCTTCTATAAGTTGAACAGGTCTAAAAAGTGTTTCGTTCACCAGTGTGGAAAGAATGTAGAACGAACAGTTATAAGGCGAAACACAGTTCCTTTGATGGTACTATATATATACCTACGGTAGTCTAACAATCGATAGATGGTGGTGGTGGTTGAAATTGTTTAGAAAAAGAGAAACGGATTATCACTTGATAAATTTGTAAGCTGGAGGAGTTAAATAGCGCCTACACTAACAATGGAATTAGTGTGGTACAAGACACTTGCTTCATCAGCTTGCGTCAAAGAGGACAATATGGACTTAGCCAGGATGGCCGTAGCAATAAAAGTGATGGGTATCAAAAACGGAATCGTTGGCGGTTAGTGAATAAAGAACTGGATTGACCAGAAGCAGTTGTTAAGAAAAGTGCTCAAGGTCACCAGTATGCATGAATCGGAACAGGGCATAGATCTGCCTGGCTTTAGAGAATGTGCCAGATGTAAGCAGTAAGTTCCACAAGTTGAAATTTGCTCGTGGAATCAGAATGGTTTTGCGTAACCCGAATAAAATCTGCAATAGGTGTTATGAATAAAATAGTTTAGAATCCGGAAACAACAAATAAACAGGACCAGCATTTCGATTAGAATTAGGGCTCAATAATCGTAACCGAGGGTAGAAATAAAGATTGGGGGTTTATGCGTTTTATAGAAATCACGAAAGACATGCTTTATTTGAGCTAAAATTCATGTGACCTTCATTTTTATGTCGGTTGGTCAGATGAATGTTTCCTCACCTTCTGTCTGTTACAACGTGTCTCTCTTACGAGAATCTCTGATCTACATTTAACTCACTTGATCGATTGTAAATTTAACTGCTTCAATGAGAGTTTTCAAACGTTTATGTTTCAAAGTTTGTATATATATATATATATATATATATATATGTGGTGCGCTGTTGCGGTCGGACCNGAAATCAAAGCAGGTCAATCGTCGCTTACTGTCAACTGTCGAAGTGGTTGCTATTCGGTTGAATAACCCATTGTGCGTTCATAAACAGTTAGTCGAAGCTCTGGATATACCATGAACAGCCATAAAAAATGGTTGTCATAAAGCCGATTATCAAATGGGTGTAAAGCGTTCATGTTCTTCATTCATCCGACCGTACAATTGAGATTTGCAGAATGAATTAAACTCTCATACACCCCTTAGTATACTGCCCATCTTATCCATACACATGCACAAACACAGACATGCTCGATCTTCTTCTGTTACTTGGACTTATGTTTTTTAACCTAAAAAAGAATGTTATATTTGACTTGTAAATAATGCACCGAATACGAGCTTGACTTCTTCCTGCATTCATTCTATAGTTGAGCGGTCAAGAACCGATCGTTGGGTATGCACAGTGCTGTCCAAGTGGAGAAAATTCTGAAGTACAATTTGAATAACTCCTAAACCATTCACATCGATCAGGTAAGTGCGCTCGTTCAATGGGTCCAATATTTGTGTCAAATACCATTTGTCCAAACATGCAATGTTTCCAGAGTACGTAAGATTTGAGATCACAACTCTGCGTGAAACCCTCATGGTTGTTTTTGTTATGAGTGACAGGTGATACTTGGATGATCGCGAGGATTGAGGATCCTATGGGAATAGACTATAAAACACGAAACAGTCTATTGTTGGTTGACGAATATATATCTAAGCTCTTATTGAGAAAGTTAGCATACAGTCCAGGTTCGATAACGATGGGAATAAATTATCAAAGCGGTTAAAATCACTATTCACATACTATAGTCAAAGGTCCATCAGCAAAGTAAATGAAGCAACAGAAAAATAAGAAAATTAACTGCAATCTCAAATGGACGGAATAAAATAAAAGATAATTTATCAACCTACTCGGTTCACAACCACAACCGGAACAAATATTTAGAGTGAGACCGCGGTGTCACCATTCACTAGATAAATAATTTTATGATTATAAATTTTAATCACATTTTTCGTTATCGTAGATACATTTTATCTAGGCTTAGAAACGTGCCTCGAACTGCCCAATAAAAGCCACGTTGTTAACTGGTTCTTACCGGCCCCAAAGTATTATAGAACTTTCTACATGAGGTTAAGCGATCAATGAAACCGAAAGACACAAAATCACAAAATCTGTTGAGACGAATTTCGTTTCCCGATTACTGTACTCGACAGGTTAGGCGCGGTGCGCCAAATGCTCTGTTGACTTGAGTGTCTTGCGATGACCAACACGAATTTCACGTCCATTTGAATCACCCCTATGACATATCTGTGGTGTGAAGGGGAATTCGTACAGACTTATCCCAGTTCAATGAAAACTCCCACGGACAGGAAATTATTGAAC